CTGTGTTCATCCAGCTCTACACCTTGTTATCTCATATCTTGTTTGCTCTTTGAATATCATCTTCGTCTTCCTTAGAACACATAAAAGTTTAAAATGCTAACTAAGCAAACTAGCACTTCAGCCTTCAGATACTTCAGGACACTCAAAATCCTTTAAAATCCTAACAGAGCAAACACGGATATCAGGTTTCAGACTTTTCAGGTCACTCAGAATAAAAATCAACAAAGCTTTCACGTCAATATATGTATAAAAATTACTCTACACATCCTGGAAGCACTGTCTCAAAATCTAAAGGGAGTAATCCACAGTTGACGCAAGGGAGGCTACCTTCAATCAGGATAGGTTAGTCAAGAGCAGTCTCTGACATTAACCCAGGGTAATGGGCACTGCCACTTGGACACCCGAGGCAGTCAGGTTCTCAGAGTCCATACCTCTGCAGTGCTGTGAGTGGGTCACAGTCAGCCCAGTGGGAGACTGAACCCGATGTGGGGAGTGGGGAGAAAACAGATGGGAAACTGTAGAGACATCAGTTTTACGAGTGGTCGCTTATCGCTCACACTGTCTGTCAAGGTTGCTCGGGGGTTGCAACATCAGTCCTCGTTGTGCTCAGCGTTATTACAACTTAGAAACTGTCTGACTCGAGGGTCAGACTGCTGCCATTGATGTAAGGCTGATAACTACTACTTATCACAGGTGTCATGCAACACTGGTGTTTTTATCTTGTAGGATATGGCAGAGATGAGTACAAGCAATTGGAAAAAAGCAGCAGGAAAAGGTTCCATGGCAATTAAAGAATAAGTGAGTGCCTGACTGAATGTAGGGATATGAGGAACTGGATATCAGTGCATTGGTGTTTGTGCTTTGTGAAAAAATAAGGATAGGTCATACCTTTCTGAATCAAAATAGCAGTTCAGAAATCAGATAAACTCGTTGAAATCACTCAGATGTAATGTAGTGAAATCTAAAACATAAATGAAAACAACATGTGAGTCAAAACCAATTCAATATGAAAAGAGAATGACTGCCATTAAACTTAAATCTTGGG